GGGTGTGGGTGTGGGTGTGGGTGTGGGTGTGGGTGTGGGTGTGGGTATATTATTTTCGAACACACCCACGCCTACGCCGCACACCCACCCATACCCCACACCCACACTCCATACCGACACCCACCCACACCCACACCCTCAAGACAGTGTGTATGGGTATCTTGATTCAGATGTTATCAAAAAATACACACCCACACCCATCCCACACAAACACTCACACCGACCCCATGCCCCACACCCACCTACACCCACACCTACACCCACACACTCACACCCACACAAACACCCACCCACACCCACACCCACACCCCAGTATCTCAAGAAGATCTTGGCAAGTTCTAATTATACCTGGGGATAGAAATCACATTGAGACATACTGATTAGTTGGATTTTTGAAGTCAACACAAACACTGAATGATCAATTCTATCAGATGAAGTAATGCGAAAACTATAATATTCACATAATGACCTACTTGTTTAAGCTATCTGGATCAACTTGTTGACATGATCGACCTCTGATTCTCAGTGTAGTCAAATGCATTCATGCTTCACACCCACATCTAAGATGGATTCTATTTTTTTACCGCAAAAAAGAAAATATATGTATTTATGAAAAAATCATTATAAATAATTATTGAAAATGACAAAAAATCAAATTATTGTTGCTCTTAATTTTCATCTTCTTTCTTTACTAATTGAAATGATAGAGTATCAGATGTAATGTCAAAATCTTTACGAATTTCAGTGACGGTTGAATCAAGATCGATCATAATTGAACTTCCCTGTTCGTCCAACATTTGAAATTCAAACATTTCTATGTCGTCTACTGAAATCAAAAGTTTTTCTAAAACCTCTTTCATAATCGATGATAATGATGTATCATCTGTGGCTGAAATCGTAATTGTTTCATTTTGATGAGAAATTTCACATTTAACATTAGCAGTCGAAATCAATTTCAATTTTAGATCCTCAATAGCTTCACCAATCTCATTTAGTTTTTCATCTTGATCAATAATTGATTCATCCAGCAAAGTTACATTATAGAGCTGTTTATTTAATTTCCATAATTGGCAAACAATTTCATGAACACGACCAAAAGTCATCGTTGGTTCACACTGAAATTCAATTGAACTTTTTTGTTCATCACTCGTGATTATAACATTTGCTGGTAATTTTTGATAGCTTAAATTGAATTCAATCGACGATGTTTCACTCGATAAAAATAAACTCAATGGCATTTTAAGTGATGGAATAAAATCACGATTATAGACAAGATATTGATTTTGGTCAATAAATTTATTTTGTATATAAACATTATCAATAGTAGCAATGATGAGATATCGTTGATTTTGCATACTTTCATCATTAACTTCAATAAGTGCACTCTCGGTTTGTTTTATAGATACAAGACATGTGTGACGTTCTTTTGAAAGGAAAAATTTTGTTTCATTGATCATGGATAAAAGTGTATTTTCCGAGAAGATTATCTTTGTATGATACGATGCTAAATATTTATAATCATCTTTTATTTCAATCATATCGAATAATTGTTTAATTGTTATATTTCGATGAGAAATAGGTATTGGCATTTCTTTTCCACTATCATATACAATAATTTGAACAAGAATAGATATTTGAAAATGAACTGGTTTATCGGTTAGTGTTGCATAGTTACTAATAGGACTTTCCATATCCGTTTTTTCAAGAATTGTTTTTTCTGATTCATTTGATACAAAAACAAGCGTACATTCTTGAGGAGATATTTTCAGGCCTACTTGCTCAAGATATTTAGTATTGTTTAAAATACTATGAACTGGGCATGAACTAAGAATACGAATATTTTGAATATTTTTATCATAGGAAAGAATTATTTCTATGACACTTGTTCTATCGAGCACATCAACACTAACAGATTCAGCCTTACCAAGTGTAAATGATATTGTTTCATTTTCATCAATAATATGTTTCTGTTCAATATTCCAAAAAAATAAACTATCAACTGGACTTTCTGTTTTAATATCAGCAAGTTTTAACCATAAACTAATTTCTTTCCAAGTCGCAATCGGATTAAAGTTTTGATTTCGTGTTTCATCTAAAATTATAATAAAGCATGAAACTTTCAATCAAAGACTTTAGTGAGCAAACTACCTTGGCTTTCTATAAGCGTCAATTCACAGCAAATATTAGCAACTTCTTTGCACTGAAGGATTCGAATATGAATTGGACTTTGCTCATCCGATCGATAAATTGTATTAATCTGACAATCTTCAGTTATATAACGTCCAAGAGAATCAAATACACTAAAATAATTTTCTGGTAGTGTGAATTTCAATTGTTGATCAAGAATAAAACGACTAAGAATTGAAGTAAGTTTGGCTTCTGTTGTAGCGAAATATTCCAATTGATTATCTTCAAATCCTAATATAATATGAATTAATATGTCTTTTTCCATAATACGATATTCGGATTCTATAATGGGTAATGAATCATTTGCATTTACTTTTGTAAAATCAAGTAATACTTGACTTGGATCAATAAAACAAATCTTATTCATTTCATATTTTTTCTCATCGAATGCTTTTTTCAATTGTGTATACAATCTTTCAGGTCTAGAGTGATATTTTGATTGTTTGCCATCTTTAAATGTAATAGTGTAACGCGTATTGGACGATTGTGATTTTAACTGTTCTAGTTGTTTTTGACTACCTTCAAATAAAGCTGATGGTGGTAATGATATTGATTTTATCTTCAATTTAAATATAGGTGTATAATGGATTGTTTCTTCATAGGCTATATTCGATGAGGCGTTTGCAGGTTTCATTGGCTCGGCAGGAGCATTTGGCAAATCAGCTAGTTGCCACCAATCAATTGAATTTGTAGAGGTAACTGTTGTATCTACAACAAGAGATTGCTGTCGTTCTAGTGGAGGTCTTGAATTAGCATTGAAGTCGACGAAGTCATCGTCTTTATTTCGGAATATGAGAAAACTATTTTCCTGGGATCGATCGGCATCTGCAATATCGAAACGAGCACTCCAAAGTTTAACTGTTTTTTCTTCAATATTAATCATACGTTCTTGTAATTGAGATCGTATTTCAATGAATTTGAGACATAATGGAACGTAATTTTCACATTTGATTTCCAAAGGTATGAATTGTATGATTGGACTTTCAATACATAAAATAGTACATGTCTCCGAAAACGATTTAGTCCATTCAGTCTCCATGAAATGTTCTACATTTTTTACTTCGTTTAAAAAATCTGTTATCTTTTCAATTCTATCTTGAAATTCTTCTTTTTTAATTTCATCATTCGAAGGAATGAATGATAATTTTAATATACGATCTAGTTCATCGTTTTGTATTTTATCCAGAGGAACACGAATTAATTGAGATACATTGATAAATGCATGTTGATATCGATTTATTGATTGTTCATATAATCGACACACAAGTTTTATTTGTGATAAAGAAAAATCTTTGATTTGATATTGCTCGAATTGTTCAGAAAATCGATCATCATAATTAGTAGTTCGAATAAATTCTGAAAGGTTTTCTTTTGAATGATCTTCCGAAGCATCATTTAAAATGTCTATAATTCGTTGAAGAAAATTCAATTCATTTTGAAGTTGACCAAGACTCTTTTGTTCTAAATGATTCCATTCATCGGCCAATCGATTAAGAGAATCCATATCGATATTGTCATCGATTTCAACGCCATTTCCAGCACCTTGACTTTTTCGTTGAATATAACATTGATATTTTCCTTTGATATGTTGATAGTTAATATGACAATAAAGAAGATATGTGCGAACAAGATTCGATTGAACATAGAGAAAATTAAATTTTAATGGCGTATTCAATTTCAGAAAATAGTCTTTTTCATTTTCGAGACTAGCACAGCATAATTTTTCAATCCATTGACAATCGTCTTGATTCAATGTAATAATACCCATATTTTCATGAACTATTTGTAAAATAGATATTTCTCGTTCTAATAATTCTTTAATAATATCTTTCAATGGACCTAAACCAAGATTACCACCGTTTTGTTCGATTTCTGTTCTGAGTAAATCGAGAAGATTATTATGATAATTGACAAGAACACTAAATTGAAATATTTATTCGTTAGGTATAGTCTTATCCACATTTATTTAAATGAGACACAACTTCAGGAGCGTAAGTAAGGGGGGGGGGGGCGCGTGGGGCGTTACTCCTCCCCCTACTTTTGAAATTCTCTATGGCAACGCCACCCCTGGTTTGAAAAATTGCTTATGTAGTACGCCCCACTCCCACAATACTTGAAAGTTTTCGTTATTTTCACTAGTAAAAAGGGCGAAAACAGACATGAAGTAGAAGCTTACTAACTCTTTGGTAAAAAGTGCTGAATTAAATAAGTCTATATCAAACAAGATATAAAGTGAAAAAAAAAATTTTCGCTTCGCGAAAAGTGAGAACTTTACAATTACAACTGACCTAAGAAGTCTGATATATCATTTAAACATTTTCTTATAGTACTGTTTACGCATAAGAGTTTTATTTTTTAAATGGTCACAAGCGCAGCCGCCTTCGGCGACAAAAACTTTTAAACAAATATCAATGGTTTCATTCAATGACCATTTAGGTTTTGGAACGCAACAACACTGAAATAGAATTTAGACCTGCCGACAAAGCAATTTCGCTTGCATTAATGGTATCAATTGCATATGCCTAACTGTATTTTGAAGGCTTAAAACCTATTTCTAGGAAGTTTCTATTAATGCTGCGTTCTATAAAGTATCATCTTCATCAATAGTCGCTGACGTAAACGCTTTCGGCGTTAGACACGTCTAGAGACGCTTTTGACTCCATACGATAACAGTTTTCTTCCTCAAAATGAAGGAAGGTAGAAAAACCAAATTTTTTTCATATAATAAGATGTTTCTACGTTGAAAGTATTTTTGTAACACAATGAGCAAAAGAAGATTACAGTGCTGAAAAAGATTTAGATGGGTCTCTCAAGCTGGATTACCTCGGAACAACCGTGTATTCCTTTTGTACTCATCCATTTTTCTGTCATTACATCTTTGTGTGCGTCTCTCTTCTTTTTAATTCATGCTTCTTTTCTGCTGTAGTGTTTCCCATGTAAAAAATTTGGTTTAAGAATCAGGTTAAAAATTGATTATAATGGCACTATTATAACCTAATTCAAATCAGATTTTTCAGCTTTAAATGATAAATTTTATTTTATTTTGATTGTTTTAAAGCTATTATTATAGTCATTGTTGGTAATCGATTAAAATCGATAGAAAAAATGAAAATCAAATAGAATTTGTCATTTAAAGCTGAAAAATCTGATTAAAATCAGGTTATAATAGTGCCATTATAATCAACTTTGAATCTGATTCTCAATTCAAATTTTTTACATGGGTTCCTGAACTGTATTGTCTACACAAAAAACACATAGCAAACAACTAGAAATCCATTTTTTTAGACACGCACTATCTCAGTCAAAAACTTTTTTTAATCTCTCCCCAAAAAAAACAATTCAAAGGACTACGCCCCCCTGCCTTCAGTGGTGACTTACGCCCCTGCACAACTTTACAAGAGAATAAAGTCAATGCATTCTCTTTCTTCGAACTAAAATTTGTTTCATAAGTCGACTATTATTTATCTATCGAAAAGGTCATGTGGAATGCATCCTTGAGAAATACCACTTGTGTGGACATCCTCATCAAAAATTGAACTTGTTTACATAGAGCATATGTTGCTAACTTTAATAAATGGACTATGAGTGACCACAATGGTTATAATGCGCATGCAAAGATACGATGGTCATTGACTAGACATCATCGTATTGTTCATTTCATTAGTTGAACATTTATCGTATTCATCGAATCAGACAGCGACAAAAAAGGAATGGATAAAAATGTGTGAGTATTATTCCTTTCAACACTTACACCTGTAGTTATGAAAAACCACAATAAGAAAACTTTTACAAATAACGGATTTCACGAATATTTTTCTTTTAATATAACGCATTTCTATAAAGATCACTACTTGTTCAAGCAAATCAAATATCCTATTTTATCAGATATTTGTGATTTTTTAAAGAGATATTAGAATTTTGAGTTGAAACTCTCACGATGCTATAATGATTATGAAATGTATCGTTTCGAAAAGTTTTTTTTTTTTATTTTATTCTAAGTATGCGAAATAATCCGAGAAGGAATACACAAGAGCATGACTCTGTTTTCAATCGTAGATAGAGATGCTCTGATATTTATCGACGAAGGAGATATAAACACTAATAGATGACATTTGCGCAAGAGTTTTATATGCTTATTCAAAGTTGAAAAATCAGAAATTAAGGGTATCAATTTTTAATTTACTAATAGCTTTCAATGTTCCTCACATGGAAAAAATATAAATCAATTCTATTAGCACGAAAAGATTTGATGAGACTTACCTTAGTATGCGCATTATGATATCACCTTCATCATAACTGTCTGTTTCAACTAGATAGCTTATGGGTGTATCCATTGAAATAGGTTCAAAACGTTGAGTAATATCACAGGCACCAGGTCGTATCTGTCCATTAGCGAATGAATGATAAGCATTAACAGCTTCGATACCCTTTTCAATTATCTTATAATATTTATCTTGTTGATTTGATTGACGTAAACGATTTGATAATTGAGAAGCCCGTTCGTATAATTCTTTCAATGTAATGGTATGAAATTCATTTTGTTCAATTAATCGAGTAAAAGTTCGATGTATGAGAACATGAAATTGACTTAAAGCATAAATATATCGAGTCATTTTGAGAAATTCGAATGAGTCAAGTAATCGTCGTAAAACTGTTAAAGGTAATTGACTCGATTCAGGATTGCATAATTCAGTCTTAAAATGAATGACTTCAATTATAATAGACATTCTAGATACATAATCTAGTAATCTAGTCTGTGGTTCAGATTGTGATTCTAATTTATTAATTATTTGTTTATAATCAACCAATCTTTTATGTGTAGGATAGAAAATTTTATTTCGAAATTCTTTTTCAGCTTCGAGTTTATCAGCGTTTGTTTTATATAATGGTTTAATCCATGGATTTTGATCTAGTTGACGAGTATGTTGAGCAAACAATTCAAAACAGCGATTAAATAAAAGACAGGCATCATCTTGATTCAATTGTAATTGAAGAAACATATTTGTTGATAACAAGCGCGTACAAACAAAATAACATGTTCTCGCTCGAATACTATCTTTACTGATACCTGCCAAATCAGCTGTAGGATTAATCGCATGCTTGGCAAGAATAGGATGATGGAGATTGTCTACAGATGATTCATATAACAATAAGTGCCATGCCTATTGAATACAAAAGACAAAGATTCAATACTTAAAATGGATTTTATCATTCAAAAGACTCACCATAGCGCCGAACGTAGCAAAAAAAGCGATATAAACCGCTGGAATACTGAATTCACTGCCACCATAAAGCTGCTCTAATTCTCCTTTCTCAGACAACACACATCCACAATCGTAATGAACACCGCTACGTTTTATAGGGCTTGTAGCAGTCGAGGCAAAACCTATTATAGAGTACAACGTTTAGTATATGAAATGTCTATGCCTGCCTATGAATGAAAACTTACCATAATTTTCTTCGAGTTTTAATGGTTCGAATGCAAACATCCAAAGAGTATTTTCTTTTCCACCAAGTAAAATCATTGCTAGAAGATTAACTAGTGTATGACGAATGGGTAACTGTTCATCATCTTTAAAATCAATTTTAAATAAATCATTAAGATAATTGTTATCTTTAACATTATTTTCATTTGGATATCCAATCATATGTTGTTCTGGTTGTAGAAGAGCACGAAATACTCGTTGTTCTTCATCACATAGCTGTAGTTTATCTTCGATAATTTTCAATATATTATCAAGAGAATTCAATTGAGCATTACAATAATAAACATAGTAAATGTTTAATAATAGCATTACTTTTATTTCAGTAGCACTAACAAGTGGTGGATTTGAATTTAATTTCGATGTTATCCAATCCGTTAAAGGTATCCAACGTTTAGCAGCATCGTTATTCTTTATACATTCACTAATTAATTGACTTAATTCATCATATGGCACGTGTAATGCCGGAAAAATGGATTCAGTATTATCAGTTGTTAGTGTGAATTGCACTTGATGACAAAGATGTAGATGTTTCCTGGATTGAGTAATGCATTTTCCTGTGAATAGATCATGTAATGCATCAGCCCATTCAATATTTGCATCTTGAATACGTTTTGATTTAAGTAGATCGAGAAGAAACACCCATGATTTCTTCGCCACTATAACTGAAAAGAAAAGCTCAAGATTTTTGCTTAGCTGAACGAAAGGTTTAGGGATGATTAAATATTGATCGATAACAGTCCCAATGATCTGATTGATTTTTTGTTGATCTTCATTATCCAAATCAGGTTGACATAATAGTAAACCTGTAGTTAGTAAAATAAAATAGTCTTTTAACTGTTTGAATACTTTGTCGGCAATAGCAACTCGATTTGCATCATTAATCCGTGGTAAATTGGAAAGAAGAATTTTATTTATAAAACTTGGCCGAATTCGTTCATTATTTATTAGTCGTCGAAGATGGAAAAATAGTAAATCCATTAACATATGATTTTGATTTGTATTATTAATGACAGATGTATGATAGGGTATTTGATAATTTTCCAGAGTTTCATCGTCAATACATTCCGTCATAACAGATAAAAACGAAATACGATCCCAGGCATCAATAAATTGTTGTTGAGGAACATTCAGACGTTTTTGTTGACTGATTTCAATTAAAATCTTAATTAATTCATCAAAAATTAATTGTTTCATTGGTAATGATAAATGACATGTGGGCTGATTTAAAAATTTTAATAGAGAAATAATTTCTTGATATGAAGAACCTTTCGATACTTTTAGTGTTGCAAGGATCCATTGCTGAATATCCATCATCAATGTACCATTATTAGCATTATTCTCTTTAAAATATTGATCGATTGTTTGAATGATAGTAGGTAGGAGTTTTAGACAACTAGATTCTTCCAAATTCCTATGACGACCATCACCACCATCTTGTATAAGTGATGTATCGTTTAATAATTTTTGAATAAGTTTAATTGGTTGTGGTGTTTTTTCATTGAGTAATATTAAATATACAAAACTCATAAATTCAATATTAACTTTCATTTGAACGAATTCTAGTCGTTTTAAAACTTTATCTGATGGATAGTATTTCGATATCAATGTATAACTTTGAATCCACTTTTTAGCATCTTCGTTTGTTTCAATTAGATGACAAAGATTCGTCCATAAACGATGAAACATTAATTGAAATAAATTTTCTCGCACTTTTGAACGTGAAATATTTTCTTCTGCTAATAGATCTTGGTAAAATGATTGATTGGGATCAAGATCTTCTGCTATTCGACAAGCAGAATATAATGACAGAAGATCATTTTCATCATATTCAATTGATGTATAAACATGAGCAAGTTGCCAAATATGATGATTGAATGAAGAACTTAATGATTCTTTTTCATCTTCATCAACTAATAATAACCAGCGACAAACGAAATCAATTGTTTTTTGGTGTTGTGTTTGACGATCATGAAAATTTTTTTCAATAACTGTCGAAAGAATTCGAACTAAATCATTCGTATATGATTGAAGAATCGATAGCGAAATAATTTTGCTTAAGATTTTATCGTTCGTAATCGATTGAATCAATTGATTACAAAATTGTTCTCGTGTACTATCCGATTCATTTTTATTACCGTACGATTTATTAAGCATTGTTGTTGTTAGTGGTGGTGGTACAGGTGCTTGTGGATCAAAGTTATCAAAACCAAGATCATCTTGTACATCTAAACATTTACAAAAGTATTACATCAGTTGAGACGAACTTTTGAATGTGTTAGTCCTCTACAAATAACCTATAGTTTTATTAGTGCAAAATTATTACATGCGGATCAGAAGAGCTTTTAGTGATAATAGAAGTTCGATATGTCAGTCCTCTATGTAAAAAGGATGAAAGTCGAAGTTATTCTATATTTGAGTTGGAATATGCAGCACGAGAAAAAAACTGTTCAGCTTGTTTTCTTTTATACATCTTCAGACCAATTTATTCCAGAGTGTTTACTTCGCCCTCTATAATCAGCTATTTGAAGGAAATTCAGATTTTTTCTTAAGACTCTAGTACTATGTAATCGTTACTGATTTATTGTTGATCAATAGGGAACAATTGCAAAGTTGAAGTATTGCTATCCGTCGTATAAGATAGGAACTAATCTGTTACTGAATTTCTGTTCATTTTAGATGGAAAACAAGTTCACATAAGAGAGAGAAGTACGACAGGACAAAAGAAGGAAGAAAAGATCGTGAGCACTCAGGGAATAAAAACATGACAAAAAATGATGTAAATTACATCATTAATGAAAATTCTATTAATGAAAAATTATCTCGAAAATGAAAAAAATTAATTAGGTCATACCAAAAGTAGTGAGCCCCGCATCTTAATTTCGTATAGACTGCTTGGAAAGAATTTCTTTCTTTATGAACAGATAGAGTGTGTTTTGCTCTATCTTTCTATGCTATTTGATCACTATTCAACTAATATCATAATAATAAAATTTCGATAAGATCTGTTTCTTTCACATGTGTCCTGGTACCATGAACATGAATGCTCGTGAGTATTTTTTGAATAACGTTTGATAGCAACAAGATAGAGAACTGCGGCTTTCACTGTTGGAAAGAGGAGATGAAGACACATCAAACCGCATATTAGAGCTTTTTCTAACCTGTTTTTGTAAGGTTTTCAGCATAGATGTCATAATACCATTACACTGGGTATCGAGAGCTAAACGTCAGAATACCCTACAGAGAGGAGTAACGACCTCATTACCCTACAAATAAACTATGCATGTTCAAAGTTGAGGAATTTGAGTGAATTTGGTGTAACGACCTCATTACGCCAAAAATAAACTATGTATATTCAAAGTTGAGGAATTTGAGTGAATTTGGTGTAACGACCTCATTAC